TCCGTTTTCATCCAGGCGCTAACAAGTGCCATTATATTCAATTTATCGCTTAAAATACAATACCTTTTTCAGGACGGTTCCTGCTAAGATCTTGGGTGTAGAGAAGAAAGGTGGTGCAGTCTTTTATACGATTGAATATGACAACAAAGAGATAGGCAAAATCAACAAATATGACCTGAAGTTGGTAGTTTTACACAACTTTTTAAATTTTATCATAATGATTACTACCACTTCCTCTAGACGAAGATACCAAATTACTGAGGATGATATTCGCTCACTAATCTCACTCATGGCTTCTCATGATCAGGGAAAGCCGTGGCAGGTACCTAAGTTGTAATTCCTTTCCTTTTATGATGTTTATTCCTGTGTTTATCTAGGTTGCTGAAACATTCAAGAAGGAATATGGTATCAAAGACAAGCTGGCACCTATATTTTGTTCAACGTCTCATGCTAAGCCATCAAATATAATAGTGAACACCACTGGAAGGGAAGCGGCAAATGTTGGTTACAAGCGAATTTAAATTTGTAACATCTTATCTTTCTTACTTGCAGAATGACAATGAAAAGGACTCTGAGTCAGATTCCGATGCTCCTCTTGTAGTGTTTGTGGGGAGAAGGAGCAGCGTTGCCTTGCCACCTAATGCCTCGTCAAAAGATATTGAAAAGCAGAGAAAGAAGGAGGAGAAAAAGAAGCAGAAGGAGAAGAAAGAGAAAGAAAAGATTGATAAGAAAGAGGAGAAAGAGAAGAAGAAGCAGACCAAAAAGTCTGAGATGAATGAAGCGAAAGAGAATGGAGTAAGCGTTATGTTCTGACTGCTAAGCATCTTTTAATGTTAACTATTTCTGATCATTTCAGGGTCTAGATAAGTTTGTAACTTCAAAAACACCTGCGAAAGGTGTCGATAAATCAAACGCGAATGCCAGCAGTCCTTTTCTTACACCACAGAAATGGAGCGAAAAACGCTTTAACTCTGCTGTGGACAGATTACGAGAAGCCTGGCGTAAAAGAGATGAAGAAGTATGCCACATTTTTAATAATCTTTTTCCAAACTTTATATTTTTTATGTACTTTCTCTTAAGGAGTTCTTTACCGCTGCGTCACGTGCTGCAAAATTGCTCTCCGGTGTGCAGATCGAGAAAATCCCTCACGAATGTCACCGCTATGCCGTACGCCATGCTTATGAAAAGATAAAAGATGCTGAGATGTTGTAAGTTGCATGTGTTTTATCCACTTTTCGCATTTTTTCCTCAATCTGCTCTTCTCTTTACTTTGAAGGGGTTTTCCCTTTACCAAATCTTGGTCTCCCCGTCATTGTTTTTTTTGTAACTCAAATGTAAATTACAGTTTCAAATGGTACAATATCTCTCAGGCGTATTGATAAGCTCAAATGTTAAAATTCTTTTTGTGTACCACATTTCTGTGCAAAATAATTTTCTAGGTGTAATAAGTTTTTACCAGAATGCTACGTAATGTTTCCCTACAATGCGATGAATTTAGGAAGAAACTC